ATGGCTAAAAAGATTATTTTATTTAATAATGTCTTTTATTTAATTCCTAGGCACTGCCATACATGAAATAATTTTCAGCATTACAAGATTCACATCTCTTCATTATAATTTATGATTTCATATGTTTATTAAATGATTTGAACTCAAATGGAATAACATTAAATTTAAAGTAAAATCGTCCATAATAATGGAACAATTTTTAATTCATTCAAATGTTCTGTGGCAATGAAAATAAAATGTCATAAAACAATTTGATATAAAAAGACAAAATTCCAGTATCTTTGCATCAGATCTGATGAAGACTATTCAGTTCATGACTATTATATAAAATATGCTTATATACGTGATTTTGAAGTGAATACATCGAAGGTTTTAGTAAATCGCCTTTGGTTTAGCTGAAATACAGTTAATCTAGTGTTCCTCTGACTAGTAAATATGGCTTCTGCTAAAAGAAACAAACACAGCGCTGATTTAAAATGCTGTAAAATCATTCAGTTTGCGAAAGAAAATAAAAATCGTGTTGCAGAAGTGTATTTGACGTTGGTGAAAGCACCATCCGTGAATGGTAGAAAAATGAATCATAATAATTAATATGTCAAAGTATAAATGTGTGTGTGTGATTATGGCAAAGCCTCGAGAGCTATCTGCCTAAGAGGAGGGATGCCTTCGTGGAGGACTTTCTAAGGGAAACTGGCTCGTATACACGTTACACATGGGGAAAACCCCGAAAACGCCTATGCAGCCAGCCCGTTCGCTCGGCCGCTGGTGGGCCCAAAGTATAAGTGAAATTTGCCTAAAGGAATACGAAATGCCCTAACCTATAAGAAAGTGTTGCGACTCTATCCTAGAAAATTGTCGGAATGGATTATTTGTAACAAGAAACAACGTAGCAAATGAAAATGAAACTTTAAAGCAACTCTGAGTAGCTGTAGTCGATTTATGACTCGAAATAATTTAACTTTACGAGAAAAAATAATTGTTTCGCAAAGGCTTCCGAAAAATTTGGACAACATATGGATAAATTTCTAGAAATATGTTATTGAACTAGGAAGGCTAAAAATTATTTGCTTTCACATATTGGAACTGTGGATGAAAAAAACTCTAGTAATGTTTGTTATGATAGGAAATTACAACAATTGATGTTAAAGGAAGAAAACGGTTCGCATAAAAATACCGTAGTATTCTCACCTCACCATAGGGCTTTCCTGCTTACAGGACGCATATTTCCCAAGTGCACAACTGTATAGCCACCGAGGATGTGGCTTCTAGTAATATTTGTGTCATGTCACATGACCTTTCGCGCGCTTTAAGATTTAAGCAAAATGGTTGAAAATATTTTGCCACGCAATTTTCTGTACAAAATAATTAAAGCATCGTCGATTTCTTCTGAAAATTTTCATTGCGAAGTTAGATCAACTATAAGCAAATGTGAAGATTTAACTACCTGGTTGAAAGAATTTAAAATAAATACAAACACATTTTGGATACTCCGCAAAAATATCCATGTGAAATATTACTTAATGAGTGGTAAATAAGATGAAGAAGTCCAAATGCTATCAATGACTCTTTACAATGACTTACTTTACTCTGATACTCAATGACTCTTTACATAAAATTATGCATATGAGAAAAATATTTACACCAATTATACATGTAAATAGAAGTCAGCACTTTTTATTGCAGTCTGTATGAAAAATTATTCAAAAAAAAAACTATATACACTTGAATTTTCTTAATCCACAGGTGTTAAGTAAATGCATAATATTCGAGGCTAATTATAGCTTGAGTCATTTTCTCGTTGTAAACAGCGATAATATGCCTTGAACATCAATCTAAATATTAATGCGTGATAAAAATCGCGAAAGCGAAATGTCAGCGATTAATTAAAGCGAAAGCACTACGAGATTTTCTTCTACTACGCCATAAATTTTTTGCCGCGAAACAAATGCAAATTAGAACGTAAACGATATACGCTCACGTGCATGAAGATTTATCGTCACAAAAGCAATAGTAGCTCATTGGTCCATTTTCAAAACCCCTCCCTCAGTGGCTACGCTGATGTGCACTTGTGAAATATGCTTACCGGACGGTGGAAGATAAATTCCCATGGTTATATTTAAAAGAAAGGCGATGCCGAAATGCAATTTCTCAAATGGTGTTTTTATTCATGTTCACGAGAAAGCATGAACGGACGAAAACTGTGTGAAATTATGGCTAAGAAATGTTTGAAAAAGCATTCTATTTTTTTAAACAATCTAGCAAGTCCTAGTTTGGGACATTTTCAGATGTCATCTGTTGGATAATAAGAAGAAATTTTTGAAAGAGTGTAATACAAACGTGGCAGTTATTCCAGGGGGGGAAATTAACCCATTAATTCTGCCTTTTTCAGCCTTTAGAAGCGTGTATCCATAAAATTTAAAGCGACAGTGGAATACGTGGGGGAAGGGGAAGAACACTTGTAGGTGAAAAAAACATTTGTAAAAGGAGGCCAGATGCGATAAGACAGTCTAGAAACAGTGTGCGAGTGAATAATAAAAGCATAGAAAGAAATTAAACACGACATAATTCAGAAGTCACTTAAAAATGCAGTACATCTAACAATCTAGATGGAACGGAAGATGATCTGTGAATCAGAATAACAGTGATGGTGAAGATGAAACGGAATTCGATGAGGTGTCTGTAGATATAACACAGTAGACGTAGTTCGGAAAGTATGCCATTTCTTTTAAATAAATAGCAATTAGGTGCATTTAGAAAATTAATTTTTGTATGCTCATCTTTTCCTTATTTTTAAATGTACTATTTTTATACCCAGCGTTTAACGCGCATCCCTAAACTTTAGTCTTATTTTGTGCATTAAAATTAGAGAACACGTGCCGCGTGTTGCGCGATAATTATAGCGAAGTTGCACAGGTGGCGCCATCCAGTGACCTGAAAGTCAAAGACTACTAAAATTCTACTCTGTCAAATTCAACAACTAGCAGTTCTTGCAAATGCGTTCGTGAGATTCAACTATAGTAACTGTTCAGCGTTATAGCATCAGCTTTATCTTTTATTAGTTTTCCTTCTCGAGCATGCCTATTCATTTTGACAACCTAGTTCTTTGAAATGAAAATGTTTTAATGTAGAATGAAACCTTTCCTAGTTGAACTATGATTCTATTTATTTATATTTTTTGTGGAGGGTGGCGATCTTCAAAAATATAATTGCTTATGATGTGTAATACTGTTATTTAATTATCACCACATAAATGATGGTTACTTCAGAGACGGTTGCCTCGAGAGAATTCATTTTTCTATTATTTTAAAAATAAATGTATAAATTATAAAAATAAATGTATAAATTTATAGATTTTTTCGAACTTGTCATGTTAATTTTTCTATTATAATTTTGACAAACTGAAACATAAATCTTGAGATTTTTTTTTATCTGATCCTAATTTTTTTTATAGAAATGAGTGTAAGGTGAACATCTTTCTTCATATGTTATTGGGCAGAAATGTGTGTAAAATCATATGATAATGAAACTGTTATCTTGCTGAATAAAACCTCATCTCAATTTGATCGAAGAAAACTGTTAGGTCCAGTTATTGTTTCTTTTCTTCTGCTCTCAAGGACATGACAAGGTTTTTATCTGATGGTTTTATTCCCTCTGTTCTGTGCAGACAAAGAAGAATATTAAACATTCAGACTTTTATCTGTATTGAAAGCCAGTGTCACTTGCATGATAAGTTGGTTGTTCTAGTCACTGTACTAGTTATCAAGGTAAATGACAAAATACTAGTGCAAATTCAAGTTTAGTAAATTAAGAAAACAATAAAATTATGTAAACAAATAGAAGATTACTTACATAATTCAATATTTTATTTCTTATTAATTGTTTAGGCATATAGATATTACAGTCAAAAGACGTTAATTCGGACACCCATAATCCGGAATGATCTATAATCCGGACCTCAAAGCTAAAATCTTTCTGCGCATGCGCCGCATTGACGCATGCGCATAGGCGTTTTACTCGTGCGCGCAAGACATTTACGACTGCGCATATGCGTCTGCGCAAGTGCAGAATACGTTTTCGCTTGCGCGTTTAATATATAACGGACGGTATAAGCTAAAATTATCTAATTATCTATTTCAGTTAATGTTGATGATTGCGTTGTTCTTTAATCTTCGAATTGGATCCAGCTTATTATTTTTTGCAGACTGTAAGAGCAATTTTATAAAAGTAAGCTTGAACTTTCGATTATGTCAAATAGAATTTCCGATGCTGGAGCTCCCAAAGGATCTAGAAAACGAAAGTATGTTTCGATGTCCATCAAACAAAAAACGAATTGCTACAAAAAATGGATAAAGGCATATTCTTTGTTTATCTAACCGTTCCGAAATCTGTTTATCAATTTCACGCTGCTCTGCGCGGGGGGGGGACGTCGCGGCGCGCAATGAACTGGAAGTTGATTTGTCAACACTATCGTTATCTTCAGGGCAGATGTTTTTATTTTATTCGGCTTATAATTCCTTACTAAATGTAGTATTTAATTTCGATGTACTCCGTCTTTGATATGATTTAAATCAAATTCCTCCTCGTCATTATAAATATCATGAATACACATCAAATAGTTTCCTGGTTGCAATTTTCTAATTTCGAATATGCGTAATGTATGCTTTACGCATGCGCGCGTTGAAAGAATGAAAGAAATGTTTAATAAAGTAAACAAATAAATATTAAGCTTTTTTTTGGTAAATTTTGATACCCTTTAGATCCTAATTGCTCATTATTTTATAAATTACGGTTTCATATTTTTAATTTTATAATTTCTGCATGCCATCTTACCAGATTTAAACTGATGATCTATAATCCGGAAAAATCGATAATCCGGAATCGCCGAAGTCCCGACGAGTCCGGATTAAAGACTTTTGACTGTACTTAATTTCTCTTATGAAATTGATTTATGTTTATCATTAGCTATTTGTGATTCTTAATGAACTTACTGTATTTTACAGACAACTAGAAAATCAGCTTTATTAACTGCTGCCAAAAAAGCAAAACTAAAAAATAATCCATCCAGAGTAAGGTTTTCAGAAGGTGTAGTCATCAATGGATCGCCTTTATACTCTGTAAGTATCCTTTTCGTCGTGTGCTTGTATGATTAATATAGATATACAATATAGGTAAAACTAAAATACTAATTTATGATTACAAAAAGCATTTTTTGTTAATAGGGTGAATTAATATTATTTAATGTGGTTTTTGAATAACAAAATCATACTGATGAATTTATATTAATTGCATTTATATAGCCATCTCCAATGGATTCTTATGTTCCTTTTCTACCAAATGTCCTGAAAGTATTCTTGGAAAATGGTCAAACTAAGTCTTTTAAGTATGACAGTACAACGACAGTTCAGGTATCCAATCTTTCTATAAATTGCATTTTTTAATACAGCATAAATAAAAATGGCACTGTGATATAGTAATAAAATAATTATAGTATTATTAAAGTATTCAAAAATTCAACTGAGCATAGAGCTTTTACTGCATGTTATTTAAATCACTGTGAAGATTATTTTGTTTTGTCTAAAGATTTATGCATCTAGTCTGTAGCTTTGTTTGAGGCTGTCATTACAGTTTGACACAAGAATATATCAATTACCATTTCCAAGAATGGAATTTTATTCATACCATTTTTAAAATAGTTTAATATTGTTAAATGTTTGGAATAGCTATTGCATATATATACATGATAATTTAATTATTGTAACTGAATTGTATAATTAAGTCAAATATTGTAAATCTTTGATTACAGGATGTCCTGAATTCCCTTAATGAAAAGCTGTCCTTGAAGTGTCCAGATCACTTTAGCCTTGCTACGGAGCATGTTAAAATCACTCGTAAGAACAGGTTAACTGTTCTAGATCCAAAAGATACACTAGCCAAGGTATCAGAATTTTTTTGTTGTTTTGTTTTATTCATTAACTGAGAGGTTAATAAGAAAGTTTGGAAATCTAAAGAATTTTTTTTTTTTTTTTTTTTTTTTTAGTATTGAAAATCTATGATATTTTTTACCAAAAAAACATGTTTTTTAAAATGTATTTAATGCCAACCAGGTTAGAAAAATGTTCCTGTTAGTTCTCACTAATTAGAATAATGTTCTTCATAAATAATAAAAATTCTGGAAAAATTAAACTCTTAAAAGGAAAAAATAACTCTGTTGTTTCTTTGTTTGTCTCTTCTTTTCTAAACTTCACATTTTTCAGAAATTGTATAAAGGATACAGATATGAATTCATCTTTAGCAATCTGATATACTTCTGATAGCTCTCCATCATTGGGTGTCTTCTTTCTGATAGATATACAAGTTTGAAGCTCCCTTGTAATCAACACTGTAACATTCTTGAATAGCTGCTTTATCTTTTAAATTCATATAGTGGAATGAATATTAACTGAACCAAAACCTAAATTATTAAACTTAACTATTTGTAACACAACCAGAAATATAGCTTCTGGAAGACTGTATTTTTCAAATAAAGAAAAATTAAAATGAAAAAAATTAATTAAAAATTTTGTTAGAATGCAGTAAATTAAATATTTGCTAACCATTAAAAATAACAATCTTGTTTACAAAGATGAAAAAAATATAACCAAACATAAACTGAAAATATCATCTATAAATCGAGTTTATGATAATAGAAATGTAAAAGTGAGAAAAAAGATTAAACTAACCGTATATTTTTATAACATAAATTTTCACCACAGTCAAATTAAATGATTGAAGAAGTTCAGGGTCAAATTTCATCATGTTTTTAAAACTTTTTTTTTGCATGAGTTTTATGCATTTAAATAGACTGGATGATGACATTACAAGCATAAATGTTTTGTCATTCAATGTGCATTTTCTAATACAAGTATTTTATTTTATTTAAGTGTATATAATATAAATACTGGTAATTTTTTTACAATGAACCTAAAATGAAATGATATTCTGGAGGCTACTTCTGAAGATGATTTACAGACACAGAGCATCTCAGAGACTGTTGTCAAGCCTTTATCTTAAGTAATTTCTGTGAATACACGATTCTTCTTTGAGAAATATCTCAAAGAACAATAATGTATTTAAATGCATAAAACTCTTTGAGAGAATTTTCTCAGTGGAGTAATCACAGAAATTTGATCACATATTTTGCTGCAATTGGACAAAGTTTATATGGTCCATTGGTGAATTCATTAACAAATTAGAAATAATTATTTGTGTTATTGTCAGATACCATTGCAAAATGTTTGCAAAATCTCATTGCAGATCTTCAGTACAAAAAGGAGTTTTAACTCTTGCAGCTTTTTAATGATATTTGCTTTTCTTAGATATATAAAATTTATGTTGGAGGCCCCTTTTTGTGGAAAATGGTTTCAGCTGCACTGTATGCTCCAAGATAAATCCGCATTAGTAAACTAATTTGAGACCCTTTTTTTTTTGTTTAATTTTGTTAAATTGTTTAATCCTGCCCAATTGTTATTGTTTGTAACTGGTACTTGTTAATACTTCCACTCAAGAAATGCCAGTTGTTTAGATTGCTCCTGAAAAAATATTTTTATATTGAAAACTGATAATTTTAAATAATTAGTTATTTTTTATTAAATTAATAATGAGATTATGAATTATTTATTAAATTATACCTTAACAAACAAGATATCCTTCAAGTTAATGACAGAGAATATGAGGAAATATGCTGACTTAAAAACTCTTAACAATAAATCCTATTTCTCCACGTGACATTCATGCAGCAGTAAAATTTTATTTAAACTACACTAAGTCAAAAATTTCAGTAAGTTCAAATGAGAATTGAAAAGTAATCTAATTTTTTTTTCAGTAAATATTTTTTTTTTCCTCTACTCCCTTCAGTTGGGCTTATTGAAGATTGAATATAATTTGTTGAAGTATGCACTAGAGAAAACATGAAGTAAATAATATTTTTAATTAAATCTCATATTATTTAGTATATACATTTAGAAATTCATTGTTTTATAGATTGCAGCCCGGCCAGGCGCACATCATCTCCGCTGTGTTTTCCGTGTCACTTTTGTTCCTAAAGATGCATATGATCTTCTGCAGAAAGATCCTGTAGCTTTTGAATACCTATATGTGCAAGTAAGCGATTTAGTGTATGATTATGGTCATGGTAAATATTGTTGTATTCAAAGCACACAGTTTACTAAAAGTGATTTAATACTGAAATCAAGTGTTTTCAAATGTATATTACATTGCTTGTGTTTTCAAATGTAAACTCCTTTGTAGTTTCATTTGCTTGATATTAAAACTTTTTTTTTAAAAAGATGCATCCAATTCTGTTTTATGTGATAGGTTCCTATGACTCCAGAAAAACTAAAAAAAAAATACATAGTGCATATGACAAAACAAAAAATTAATTTAACCTAGGGCACCTCATAAGCTGTTTTCACAAATTTTAATTAAATTCTTTACTACAACTCATAAGCTATTTTCACAAAACTTTAATTAAATTCTTTACTACAACTCATAAGCTGTTTTCACAAAACTTTAATTAAATTCTTTACATAGTTTTTATTATTTAAGAATATTTATGTTAGAAATTTATGGGGATTATTTTCTGTGCATGTGTTTATTAAAGGTATAAATATATCAGTAATTCAAGAATGGGAAATAAAAAGGATTTATATATGGTTATCAACTAGGTTTTATTTGTTTTCAATAACAGCAGATGTATTTATTTGCTATTAGTGACAGCAAACAAATAGCATGAATATAAAAATTACAATGAACATTAATAATGAAATACTGAGAGCATTATTTATTCTTACAGACAACAACATTGTGTAATTATGTTATTCAAGTTTTTAATTTTAGGAACTCTGGTGCATAAATTATTCATATGTAAAGCATTTCTAAAATGTTAAATGCTATTAAATATGTAACTATTAAAACAAAATCAGTTTTAAGAAAGCCTAATAATTTGTTAATGAAACTTTTACTGTGCCTACCCTTAAAAATGACTCCTTCAGCACTAAATTCAATATACTGCATTCATATACTGTGAGAAATTGGTAGAAACCTGTACAACTGGAAAAAGATTGTTCAGCATCTAGGCAACTGGGAAAAAAAACTGTGCAACTTCTAGGTCTCAGTGATAGATAGCACTACTACTATAACCTATTAGTGAAAATCTTGTATAACAGATCCCTCTAGCTTGATATAATACAATCTTGCTGTTTCAGAACTCTGTACCTTCCTTACACACCTCAGTTGGGACTTATACACACTGTTGCACGTGGTTGCGGCTGTGTGCAACAACAAACTATGCGTATTGGAATTTGCCAGTGCTTTTAAGGATGAATTCATTACGTGCCATAAGAGCCAATTTTTGATAACAAAAACATTTAATCACATCACAATATTAAAACTTAATTACTACAGTCAACAGACAATCATGTTGGAGGAAAGCGAGCGACCAACCGCACCGCCGACGTGACGTGACTGTGTGTCGCCAAAATCACCTTCGGTTACAGTTAGTGATAACGGCGCGCGGTTGGCGAGTACAACACATGTTTACAGAGTTGCCACAACACCTTTCAATTCACCAAATTGTCCACACCTGTTCTTCAAGTCATCTAAATTTATAAACTCATCTCTCTATGTATCACGCTTACTCACATAACAGCTGTAGCTTTCAATATTGTGCTGCATATAGTAGAAGACTAACTAGCAGTTTCACTTGCTCACTTATAAGCTATGACATATTTATGCTGTTATGGAGCATGCCTTTAATCCAGTAGTTAGACTCACACACCCAAATTTCAGCAGTTCAATACTTGTTGAAGAAACTTAGTTTCCATTTCTCATTGATAGATGGTGCCACCACTGTAACATATAAATGAAAAACCTATCTAAGAAATTACTGTAAATTGATGAAGTATGGTTTAAAATATAATGTTTTATTCCTACAGTGTTGCAACGATGTAGTACAAGAAAGGTTTGCTCCGGAATTGAAATATGATATTGCATTACGTCTTGCTGCCCTTCACATCCAACAGCATTGTCTCAGCAGTGGTATGCAAGGAAAGATTACAATTAAAGCAGTAGAGTAAGAATCTTTTATAGCATTTTTAATAGCATATATTGTTGAACACTTGAGCCTTTTTGTTTAAATAATATAATTATATATATATATATATATATATATATTTTTTACAAATTTATTCTGAACTTAATTATTTGGTTTGTTTCATTAGATAATGCCAAAACAATCAATCATAAATTCCAGCACATTCTGTGTAGAAATATGAGATAAATTTAAAGTGTACCATTCTACATACGAATATAGCATCACAAAAACTGCTAGAAATGCATTCCATTGAAATCCAAAGCATTCATGAATTTTATATTTTGTATTAAGGTCCTTCATAATATGTCTCATCAGTTGCCCATATTACTTCATTAAGCTTTCTAATCAGCTAGCCTTATTTTTGTCAGCACAATATCTTATACTATATCGAATAAGAGAGAAAATGAGAATAAGTCAAATCAGTTGAATAAGGTGCTTGAAGCCTTATGGAGAGAGATTCAATCAAACATCACAGTTACAACCAAATGCAAATTGTGATCTGTTTAAAAGATATCGCAATTAGTTTTAGTCCTCACATCAATATTTTTGTTGTGCATTTCATAACTCAAAGTCACTCAAAAGCAAAATATCGTGTTTCTACATTGAATGGGTAAGATTTTTTATTCTCTGAAAGAACTATTAAGTAAAATACCCTTTATTTAAGCACCAACACTAAAGAAGGAGAAGAATTAAAGCAGAATTATATAATGCTAAATGACTGTATCAAAATATAAAGAAAATAAAAGGTCTGCATTTTAGGACAGGTAGAAGATGAAAAAAATACAGTAAAAGCCCCTTAACATGAACTCATTTAAAGAAAATAGTCGGCTAGAATGGACAAAATTTTGGTCCTGGCAGCATTATTTGTGGTCTTATGGGATGTTTTATCAGTTAACGTAAATTCAGGTTAGTGTGAATGATAAACAGTTTTATAATCCTTTGCATTATTAGATTTTATCATTTAATGTGAGCTTTCAAAGTTGGTCATATTTCTTTCCTGGTTTTCCTCTGCTAGAGCTGTGTTCAGAAATGTTCCAGTTCCTTTAATTGAAAACATCACAGAATAAATTGTACTCTTTAGAACATAGCCAGCACAAGAAACCTTGTTTGACAATCATTATCATCACATTAACAATGAGCTTCAATTAACAAATATAATTCTGTGTTCAGATGTGCTTTTTATTTTTTAAATGTTAACTAGTACGACCAGCATCATACCACAATGATCCAGAATGATTTCTCATCAGGGAAAAGGATCATACCACAATGATCCTTTTCCCTGATGACAAAGGAATGGGCTCTCTCCAGATACAGGTATGCCAAGAATCAGTATCCAGGCTCAATCTAAACTCATCTGTAAAAGGCACGGTATTCCACTAGAATCTTGTCCTAGACACATGTTGTCAGCACTATGCTAAATGCACTCTCTTGTGTGCTGCAGTGAGCAGGACACAAACAGTAGGTCTTTTGTCATACAGCTGTATTTTGTGAAGCCTTTGGACAAGTGTAGACTGAAATTCAGATTTTAGTGGCAGCATACAGCTCAGGTGAGAGCTATGAAGCTGTAGTAGTCCTGTGTTGACATGGTGAAAGGGCCAAATAATGATCCTCATTTGTCATTGTGGATCTTGGTCAACCTTGTCCAGGTCTTCTTGATATGGGTACAATGTCTTGAAACTGTTTCCACAAATTGTAGACAACACTGGGCATTACATTGAGCTCTGTAGCCCATCTGTGCTTGTGATTGGCCTGCCTTTAAGATACCAACAATTTTCCATCTCTTTGCATCATCCATACATTCATATTACTCATTTTACCTGATACCTTTTAAAATTTACTCAACTCTTGCAAGTTGGTGTTGGTGTATTTAATTATGGCAAAGCACACGAGGGCTATCTGCCTAAGGGGAGGAATGCCTTCGTGGAGGACTTTCTAAGGGAAACTGGCTCGTATACACGTTACAGATGGGGAAAACCACGAAAACGCCCATGCAGCCAGCCCGTTCACGGGATTCGAACCTCGGACCGAACTACCAGTGTTCAGTGACTTTACCGCTCGGCCACTGGTGGGCCCAACTCTTGCAAGAAACATGGCAAATATCATGTAGGAGTGTGAGCACACAAATCACGGAAAACCCCTCATGTGCTTATATACTCTCTACAAACACAGTCCCACAGATGCGCAAATGTACGCTTATGTAGTCCACTCTCTAACAGGATTGTCACAATTTATAATAGGGCATGCAGCTCTATGTTTATTCTGTTTTTAAAATGCAGAACATTAAATTATATCTAATGGATTTCATTTCAGTTTATATATCTTTTATTTTTTTTTTTGCAGTGTAATTCTTTTCAGTGTTAGCAGAATTCTTTTTTTTCTATAATGTAATTCAATTTTTTTAATATGTATTTGCAAATTGTATTAGTATAGTAAAATAAACTAAATATATTTTACCATTTTGTATAAGACACAATACTAATCATGTTTGAGTATCTAAGTATATTTACTCACATACAGAAACTCCATCATTATGCAAGCTTCTAGCAGCTGTTGCCACTTATGTTTGTCACACATGAAATAATACATGATTCTATTGGTAATCATGCAATAAATAAATAGCAACATTAATATTATAATAGTGAAATGCATCATTAAATATTGACAATGAATATATCAGGCTTTTATAATATGATAGAAAATTAAGAATTCAAAAGAAAAAATTTCTGTTATTAATACAAGACACTTAAAATTGTTTTTTGTACATTCTTGTGCTTTTTAACCGTCTTATGGATGAACATCGTATGGGCTTTTAAAACCATATATATATACTTGCTTAGAATACAACTGTAGCAATTGATCAAATAAAAAATTATATGTACATTGAAAAGGGATTCTAGAATTTACATTTGGAATAAGTGTGCACAACTGGGCAATAACTTACAAGTTTATCTTTCTAGTAATGTTAACTTAGCCATCTGTTTCTATACATCAAATAACAGACTTGAACATTAATGCTTTGATATGTAAAAATCAATATAGTACATTTCTAAAGCAAAATGCTCATTTAAAATGCTAAAATGTTTTAAACTTTTGAAATATTCTATCCCTATTAAGAATATATACATATACAAATTGTGAAAAACATTATGGACTCTTAAGTTTTTACATTTGTGTGTTTATTAAGATTATGTTTCACAACATGAATATGTTTGTATATTAGTTGAAAGAGAATTTAATTTCAATTCAGTTTAAAAAAATTCAAACATTTATAACACAAAGGGATCATGTTCATTTACTTGATTATGTAAGGTGCATCTGAAAAGTTCAGTAAATGCCACGGGAAACAAGAGTTACAAACAAAATACCTTTAGTGGCTTTCAAAGTAATCACCATGAGCTACAACTGACTTCTGACATCGATTGTAAGGCTGTTGGAAACTGTCAGCAAATGCTTTTTGTGGAATTGATCGAAGCACTGTGGTCAGGTATTGCTGGATATCTGCAGTGTCTATGAAACATAAGCCTTTCAGGGCTAATTAAAAGTGGGGAAACAAAAAGAAGTCCCCTGGTGCCAAATCTGAAGAATAAGGAGGTTTTTAAGAACAATCACCTTGCATTGAGCGAGAACACTGAGCACATGAATAGCAGTGTGTGGTTGGGCATTGTCACTGAGGAAATTCCAATGTCCACTCTGCTACAGTTCTGCCTTAAACCACCAGATGCATTACAGCAGCCATTTCAAAATTCCATCATAAATTTCTGCATTAACAGTTTGATCTTTGTGCAGAAATTCATGATTGGTTTCAAGCCCTTTCAAAAAAGTCAATCAACATCATCTTAATCTTGGATTTTGTCATCCGACTTTTGGGGAATGCTTGTTGACTTGTCTTTCAATGCATATGTGCAGGCATCTCATCCTAACCAGTGTGGTTTTTAAGGCCCATATCACACGGCGTTTGTTTCACACGAACAACTGTTTCGGACAATTTTTCTGCCTGGTTTACTTTTGAAAGAAAGACGTGCGACTTTTTCCTTTCTTTCGAAAAAAGTTGCAAGTTGTTCGTTTTCAACCAATCAGCAATCAGCGCCGAATGCTGTTAGCTTGTTCGTAATGGAGAACCAGTTTTCCCTGTGTTAACCCCAAAGCGAGCTGTGGTGATTGGCTGTTGTGACAAAGCAGAAAAATTGTTCCAAACAGTTGTTCTTTTGAAACAAACCGACGTGTGATAGCAGCCTAACAGAACTTTTCAGATGCATCTTGTAGATGTGACTGAATTAGATACTCAAAAATTACAAAAACTGCAAACTTCTAATTATTAAATTCTCTATTTTACTTGAATTCTATTTCAAAGAAGTTTTCTACATCATTCTCATATGTATCATGAGATTCCCTGTATAAATGTATGGTTCTCATCCCATTCATTTTTGCTTACAATTATCCAAAATATTATTTGAAGCAGTTCTTTCTTTATAATTTTGCTATTTCTATGTATGCAGTATGTTTTATGTGTTGAATAGTTCAATACAAAATCTTTCTGAATCCTTAAAAAATACATAAATTTAATTTAAATGTCAGCAAAAATCAATTTTCAAAATTTATTTTCAATAATATGTTTAAACATTTGTTATCTTTAATGCTACAAAATATTGTTCACCATTTTGTTAGTGTCAAAAAGAACTATCAGTATGCTGCTAATAAATTTGATGGATTGATGCTTTGTATTTCATCAGTTTCTTCAGTTTTTATTAGTACATTTTAATCACCTGTTTATATACGGTTTATTTTCAATGCAACTGTCTAAATTAGTCTTCATCACCAGTTGCCGTTTTCATAGATTAAGTAGATGCATAGTAATTTTTTTATTTTTTTATCAGTAGTATATCAATATTCTCTTTGTAGTTACATACATAACCATACTATTCTTTAATTATTATCAAAAGCTAATTGTTATTTAAATACATTTCAAAAATTTTATGGTATGAAAATTCTTAAATAAATATGTGTTAATTTTGAGTCACTATAATATTTTATTAATATCTAATCTAGGCGAGAATGTGGACTTGATAGATTTGTTCCAGTATCACTTCTGGATACTATGAAAAGAAAAGAACTGAGGAAACTGTTGGGACATTTCTTAAAACAAAACCAGTCTCTCTGTGCTCCTGGGCAGAAAAATCTCACAGCCTTACAAGCTAAGCTACATTATTTGAAGATCATTAGTGAACTTCCCAGCTATGGCTCCAAGTGCTTTTCTACTAATTTAAGAGTAAATTATTTTTGTTATATTTTATATTTCAGGTATTGGCATTCAATGTTGAACAAAGATACTAATTTATGAAGATTTTGTAATTTTCTTTCAAATGTTAATTATTAAATCTGAAAAAAAAAATATTAAACTAATTTTTTCTAGTGAATATCGTATACTGGCTTAACATCATAAGGTGATCATTTAAAACTCTACTTCTCAAAATGGTATGCACTACACTTTGGGAAGCTATTTCATTGAATAAAACAGCTGTGAGTAGATGGGAAATATATGATATGGATAACATGTGTGATAATATACAATATATATAAGTTATACGTGTCTGGGTGCGGGACAGTCCCAGGTTTATAGTTGCATTTGGAGTTTTACCCTGAATAGTTATGTCTAATATTTTTAAATGCGTGTTTATAAAAACTGAAGATGTAATAATTAGTTTATAGAAGGAAAGAGGAATCGTATAAAATCTTAGTGACATTTTTATATCATCTATGTATTTACAAAGACATGCAGCAAAATGTATGTAATCTATTTTCAATGATTTTTTTCGGGGGAGGGCTGCTTATTACATTGTCACATCCTTTTATTTCTTCATACCAATATTTCTTTGTCATATAGGAAGCAAGACTATATAACTTGCAAGTCTGTAAGCACTTTTAACAGTCAAATTAATTTTTCCTGAAATGTTCCTGATTAACTTTCCTAAACTACGGTACTTGTAGATGTGTAGAAATATCAGAAACTAAGAATGATGATTATGCAGCTGGAATAAAATTCACTTTGCAATGGAACAGATGTATTGAAGGAGAAAAACGTAGAAAGATTTATTGCTAAATTTAATATTTATGGTTAAATTAAAATTTTTGTATTGATTTTTCAACTCTATTTTATATTAAAAACAAGTGCAGACTTTTGGTTTGAGCAATATGTTAGAAAATGTCTGAGAATTTCAATATCAGGCACAAAAATATAGCTTTATTATGCAGTAAAATTCAAGCATATCTGGCACATTAGATAAATAGTGAAAATGGACTTTGGGTTATTTTGTAAATTCCACAGTTCCATATCATTTTCTTCAATTATTTTAAAAGTTCATTTCTTACCTTTTCCCTGTGCGTTACTATGTAAATGAAATAAATGTTGATGCAAATTAAATAATAACACTTGTGTTTTTCTATGTATGAAATTTATAACATATGAAGTATTTGATATAAAAAATCTCATGATGTTCTCACTGTGTATGAGAAGGTGGTCGTAAATTATAATTGTTGATCTCAGAAGAGCCCCCATCTAGAAATTTCTTACAAATCGTTGATTAAAAATATGTGTGTCATTACATTAGATGAATAATATGTTGATGTATCATTCTCAATAATGATTAATATGTTTTATGTCTACTGAATATCATTGCTGGAATGTAATGAAAAATAGCATAGCAATGGAAAAAAAAAAATATTGCTTAGTAAAGTTTTGACTCTGCTACATAAAATACAATGGCAGTATAAGTTTAAGCATTAATAACATTAGCATTTTCTATTTCTATATTTCAATATGTTTATCTGCACTTATATACAAAAAGTATTATTTCTGGAAAAGCAAAAATTACTTTTATAATATATATTAAAATAATTATATTTTTGGTAATTAAATAATTATTTTATTTAATCACCTATATTGTTATGTAAACTTTTGCTTTTAATTATATTTTTTGCAGGCATAAAAGTTAATTAAACTTATTATGCATTATCTTTCATTGTTGTCATTTTCTTATTGTTTGCATATTTAACCAAAATATTTGCTTTAAGTATAAGTTATATGATATATGAAATAATAATTATTTATTATTAATTAGGATTCTAATCCTGAGGTGGCCTTGCTAGTTAGTCCAAGATTTGGTTTGAGCCAAATTGCCTGTTTAAGAAATACAAGTGTAAGTATTTTATTTTTGAATACTTTAATGCTGATGTATGAAACTTTCTTTATAAAAAAATTCTGAAATGATCTTAAATTGCTCCAGTCAGCTTTGTTTTGAAGTTTTGTAAATATTTTCCTGCATGCAGATTAGTGAAGTTTATTTTTTGAAGCATAATTTCATAATACTTTTGACCGTACAAATATTTGTTTAATAACCTATTTCTTTAGAGGAGGAAGGAAGGAGTTACTTATTTTTAACTTTCACTCTGAATCATTTTTTTTTTTTAATATTAATCTTGACTTCTACTTGCATAAAATTATACATCTGACAAGCTGCTTTTGTTATTTCATGTTTATTATGATTTTATTTCAGATTATTATAGTCACATGTGAACAGCTTACATTTAATATTAGCTTAAGGAAAATAAAAATATTCTGATAGATCCAAATTATTTTCTATTAACAGAAAACTTGAAAACTAAGTAATTTTTTATTGCCATAAAATAAAATTATATGATGATATAAAACATAGTTTAAATCTAGTTTTTAATACTGTTATATGTGTACCAGTTTGTAATGGATTAAATTTACGCATAACCAATGATAGCTTGATAAAGTTTATTTTCTCAAAAGAAAAACTTTACAGTTCTGGAACTTTTCACAAAAGTACTCATACAGCTGCTGTTAATAAGACACAGCACAATCAGTAGTTACCACTTCAAACTGCTCAGAACGTTTAACAGAACACATTGCATAGTGCATCTAAGATGAAATTTCACACGGAGATCTCTCAGTACTCTGAACTCAACTCTAATCTAAAAACTGAGAACTAATGCTGTCTCCGATCTTACATAGCTTTTCCCAAGCCGCCAAGAAATTTTCAGTACCTTCGATTTCTCAAAATTGCTGGAAGACATATACAGCTAGTTACAGATAGGGCTGAATACAGTTACAGTTGTATATAAGGATCAGACCAATTACAGTTATACAGGAATTGGACCAAAATATTGCCTAAGGATCGTCATTGGTAACTTTGCGTGACAAGACTTAGTCTCCAAAACCATCACCGGCTTACATAGGCCAAATAGCCATTTACCTCTATGTTAAATATACTTGCCACATTTTTCAGTAAAGCTTCACCATCTTGAGGACTTTCATGTTAGATTATATAAGAGATATTACAATTTTACATATACACAAAATTAGTACAATAAGATACTACAATTTTACATATAATTTCTCTAAAATTTTTACATATACACAAAATTAGTAAAAATAATTGATTTATTAATGCTATTTTTATTGTTTATACATTAATTTCTTTTCTCAGCCTGTTACTCTTGCACGAATTGAAGAGTTATCAGATGTGAAAGTTACTAAAGAGGATGAAATTTCATCTGCTGTCGAAATTTTTATGAAAGATCCAGACAGACAGGTTTGCATTTTCAGTTTTCTGCTTCTTGCATGTATATATTCTAAGAAAAAGTGTTCTAATTTAGATTTCAGATCTGAAATCATAAAAATAATTCTTTTAGTAGTTGATGGCTCAAGATTCATGGTCACCATTTTACACTAATTTGTGTTGTAATAATATATAAGTAATCATGATTCTTACCATTATGAAAGAGTTTTATAGAAGTTGATAGAGCCATATAGCAATTCCTGTAGAACTTCATAGGTAATCCTCTATAGAAATGCTGCTGTATAAAGTTGTATAGAAATTTTATGATGTTTTTACAGAACGAATTCAATAAAAATATTGCTTTGCAAAATCATATAGAATTTTTTAAAAAGCCTTTATAGAATGGTATTCTATAGAAAAGTGAAAAGTTTTCTAATTTTAATCCAAACAAATTTTTAATTTAATTTAGCTTCTAAATTTATAGTATAACATTTTGTATGATTTTGTTGTAGAGTATGCTTATGTAGTACAGATATCTAATCTTGAAAATGCATAAAGTAAATTTATGTCATACAATAAGTTGAAAGATTAAATTTAAAATTAGCAGCAAGCTAATTATAAAATTTTAATTTCTGAAATGAATGCTTTTAATTATTGTATGTGTGCCCCTGATGAGGAAAAAGGGTTTTTGATTTTAACTAAATTTTATTTAAAATGTATTTATTTTTATTTAAATATATTTTTTAATTAAAATGATACTGAAATTTTAGAAGGAAAATAATTATCATTTATTCCAAAAGTTTTTGTTCCCTTCTGTCTCCTTGTTATAGATCATTTCAAAAATTAGGTTAGAAAACTCAGTTCAAATATGAAAGTATAATTAATTCATTTTAATCTCAAAAGAAAATTTTGTTGATCTTATATAATTCTTTTAAATACTCAAATGCTTCTATCTGATCCTTTAAAGGAAAAAAAAAAAACTGGTTTATAATTCTTTAGAATGATGGCCCAGTTTTCTATAAATTGAGTCTGATATTATCCATAGAATTTAATTAGTTGATTATATACGCACTATATTAGATTCTATACATGGGACCGTTAGAAACTACCATTTGTTTTATAAAATCTGTACAAATCTCTGTAGAATATTTACACATACCTCTGTAGAATCTCTATACAAGTCATCAAAACATATGTTTTTTTATCTTTCACTTAGCTCTATAGAAGCTAATATAATATTCTATAGAATTTTATAACAGATCTCTGACATAGTTTATAGAAAATTTGGCCATTCCTCTAAAAGGACCCTAAAGAAGTTTAACATTGGATATTTTTATAAAATTCCATAAGACATTTTTGTGAGAGAAGACAGCTGGCACAGTTGCCCCACCAGTAACCTAATCTAACATAACTAAATGGCACAAGACTGGTAGTATCCATCGCCTGGTATGCTACCCACATATTTAATCCTCCCACATCCTACCATGCCACTCATTGGATTCAGACAATGACTAAGCCTGCTTCTCTCATGATTCTGAACTGCTAGCAGTGAATTACTTCTTTTGTTCATTGCCCGGTACAAGTTCTTTATGATATATTTTCTTTTATAGAACTATGGTAACTCTCTTCTTCTCTATAATACCATAATGCATCACAAATGAGCATGGATATAGTTCACTCTGTGCATATTCTGTGATATGTTAACTGTATTACGATCTGATTATATCAGATAAAATCAGTGTATATTTTTTGGCATCAACATGTAATTGCATAAACTCAATGCACATTTTTGCTTTCTTAATTTTATTTTATAATGTATAATAACATAGAGTTAATGCATACTTAACTACTATATTTTCCTTTTAATTTGCTTAGTGTATATATGTAACAATATACTCCAGTTTGGCATTGTAAGGTGCCCTTCTGTCGATCCATTGTATATGCACAATATAACTACTGATTGTAACATGCAAAACTTAGTTCCTTTCTCTAATCTATGACTTCTGGCATGCATATTATGTTTATGTTACATTAACTTTGATTTTGTCATGTTTTGACTGTTCAAGCTGCATGTTTCTATTAGATTTAAAAAAAAAAAAAATTCTAGCATGATATGCTTCTAAAAAAAACAGAACACATTTTAATACTTTATTTTTAATGTATCTGATTGATATTCAGTATACTTTTGTATTTTGCATCACTTTATGAGCAATTCTGTGCTCCTGAAAACGTAATCTGAAGATTCGACCTCAAAATATCCCATAACTAGTTTTTTCATGTCATTAAATCTCTTTCTACGAAGGTCATTCAGTTTGCACAACAGAAAAATCCAGTTTTGCGTCTATCATCTTTTAATTTCCTATCACTCAGTACTTCCTCCTAGACACAAGCAATATTTTCTATTATCATCTGTTTATGCATCTTCTATTATGGTTCATGCATCTTCTATTAAGCATATCATATCCCGTTATGAACTTGTTGCTGTATCATATATGTTGTTATCGTGGTACTTCATATAACTATGGGATACTAGTTATGTATTTTACTACAGCATGTTGATCTAGTTCCATGTACCTTAATAAGATACACACAGTTATCAATAGCCAACCTTGACAAGAATCATCTTTTGTTGTGTATATATATTCTCATCACGTATGAAATTATTTAACAAATTCTTTCACTGTAGAATAGGAAAAGGACAAATCAGCATACATATAACATATTGAGATTAACATCTTCTAATCAAAAATTAATCAAATGATGACATTCAGTTTTAAACTTCATAGAACTAACTAGTCTATTACTTCATTCAATAAGGAATCAGAAAAGAATGGAGGTTATTTCACTAACAGAACTTCCAAATTTATTCATTTAATATTGCTGCTACATGTATTCAAGAAAGATTTATTGTTAAGCAAATTTTTATATGTAAGGCAATATTTTCTATTATCATGGAATATCAATATTTCTATCAACTTTTGGATTGACCTACATATATATTTACTGTGAACAAATATGGTTCATGCATCTTCTGTTATGCATATCATGTCCTGTTATGAACTTGTTGCTAAATCATATATGTTGTTATTGTGGTACTTCATATAACCATATGACACTAGTTATGTATCTTATTACTGCATGCTGGTTTAGTTCCATGCACCTTGATAAGATACACACGGTTATGAATATGTACAGTTAGTGAATTTGGTATCGCACAACATATCATCACTAATGCACAAGCTTCTTATAATATTTGGTTTGGTTTGATATGTTTTATTTGATTATGGAAAGCATGCTAAGACTATCTGCCTAAGAGGATGGATGCCTCCAGGAAAAATTTTCTAAAAGAAACTGGCCCATATTTATCCCTATAATATAAACCACAGAACAGTTCCCATTAATATAATCAGTCACAATGCCATAGTCCATTAATGGCTATATAATTAGATATAAAAACTATCTTATTAATTGGCATCAAAACTCCTTACAGTTGACTAATACCCTGAGCTGAGGCAATTCAGACAGTGTGCATTACACAGCTATGTTATGCACAGTTGCAAAGTGTGGATAAAGATTTGGTTTTGATCATTAATCTCATGTCCAAATTCATCTCCAGCATTTTTGGCATTCTGGGCAATTAGTAAAGTTTGTATCTCATATGTATTAAATATATCAATATTTCAAACCATAACTTATTAGCGAATTTTTTATTAAATTAGCTAAATGAGTGTGATGTTTTTAATGTTTGTAATATATTATAAATCTTTGTGCCATTTGTAAGATGCAATCATTGATGATGTATCATATTGTACTTTTTGAGCAAAATATTTTTCTCTGGAGAAAAATTCACTTTTTTTAAAATTTAAACATAATCTCAAACAAGTTTTTACCAGTTTCAAGTTTGAAAAACTCCTCTTTATTCCAGTTACTGATTGGTGACTGTTTACTATATCCTTACATATTACCTACATTTAAAGATGGTGACTGTTTACTATATCCTTACGTATTACCTACATTTAAAGAAGCTGCAAATTTTTGCTATTTTCTGCTAGAGAGCTCCTATCCTGTTTTGCGAGACCATAAAATATTACCAGTTTGTGGTTACCATGTTGTGTTATTCAAATCATTACTTTGCTGAAGAACATGCTTTATAAATAAGTAAAAGAATTTTTGTAAACCTACTTTCTGGATCTATTTAATCTTTGTTGGAATGTTCATACTAAAACATTTGTTTCTTTTGTCAAATTTTAATGATTTTGAATACAAGTTCAGCTACCAAATCATGAGCCTCAATCATAATATTTTAAGTCTATTATTCTGAGTCACTATTATTCCATGCCTTTTGAAAGTGAGAATCACCAGAGAGTATTCAGAAATTGCCTTCTTGCCCCCATGTTTAATAACACAGCACAGTAATTTATTCCCTGCTCTTCAGGAATACTATCACTTTTGAGAACCACTTGGCTTGTACCTGTTGAAAATCAATCTAGATGATTATTTATATTTGTAGCTGCACTTAGCACTCAGTCTAGATGATTATTTATATTTGTAGCTGTACTTTCTAGCATATAACATAACAATAATTATGTTATTATGTTATATGCTAAAATAATTTACTTTTTAAAAATATATTACTTTTTAGCATATAACATAATAATAATTATGTTATATGCTAAAAAGACTAGGAAAATATACTGCAAATAATAACTAAGCTGTGAAAGTGCAGATTGCTGAACTGATTTTCAAATATACATTCATTACAATTGTAATATGAAATTATTAACAGTGACAGTTCTTTTTAATGGCCAGGTGCTTTACATAATAGCCATTAGCCTTGTGCCAAATATTAATTGTGATAATTGATATCCCCTTTTAAGTTTGTGTGAGAATGTATTTGAGTATAATTTATATCAATGCAAATCAGGTGGTAGTTCACAATAAATTTTAAAATTTATTTTCACAGTAATATGTTTTATTTGAAGTGTTATTTCCATTATGAAGTGTGTGATTTTTTAAATTATAAGGTTTGCTATGAGATTTTTTTTTTATTTTTTTTTATTTTTATGTAATAGTATGAATATTTTTCATTTTGTATCTTTTGCAGTTATTGAATATTTACATCCTTTCTCTCTTCATTTAGACTCTAAATTTCAGCATGGAAGACAGAGATGCAGAAGAATTTATTTTGTTATTAAAAGGCTATTTTCGACTTTTGGCTGGAAAAGAATTAACAGTCCACTGGGATTTCCAAAGTTCATGGCAAGCTGAAACAGGTAATTACAGTTTTTTAAGTGCAGAATTTCTTTACAGTAATATGTGTATATCTTTTACTTTACTTATTACTGAGCACCTTTTGATATAACAGAAAATTATTTCATTTACTATGTTTTTACAATGGTAGAAAATGCACTAAACTCTTAAAATTTTCAGGAAAAAACATTTTATATCATACAAGGGCTTCTAAGATGATTTAAATGAAATGCTTTGGTATTCATATTAATTTTAACTCAGGAAAAATTTTGTGAAAAATATTCTTTGAAACTTAATAGAATTTGGCTACGTGGTAAATATTATTTCAATATATGATTTTATTATCAGGAATTACCTGTAAAAGCATGAAAATTTTAAAATAAAATTAGATAAATTTTATTAAATTAAATTGTCATTCTTGACTCTCATGATTGGATTTCTTATTAAAAATTTATTATATTATAAAACTTAAGATAACACATCCTCTGATGTTAACAGAAAATGTTTAGAGTTAATAATTTCCTCTAGATATAAACTTACTAAGAATTGGTATTCAAACTAAATTCAAATTAATATTCAAACAAATCTATTGTTACTGATTTCTCAGCTCATTTCCTAAAACTGGTTTATTTCTGTATGATAATATATATATTTAGTTAATTTCACCAATGCATATTGATAACAAAAATATAAAATTATCATTCTGTAAAATACTTTTTGACTTACATTCATAATTACTGTAAAGAAAAATAACATGTGTATTGCCTGTTATATTCACATATATATCTTTATATTTTTTAAGATGTAAATATTAAAAAATTGTTGAATAAAAGGGATAATTGCATTGTATTTTATTGAAAACTTATTAGTTATCAGTTAATTTATTGCACTTTTTTCATTTATTTAAACTTTATTAAAAACTTCACATTTTGAAAAATAATGTTTCAGTAAATAATAAAAAATGCTTTTTCTTTTATATTAGGTGCTGATATGAAAGCCTGGTGTTCATATACACCATATTCAAAGGCTGATAAATATTACAATTATGGAAATTTAAATAAAGTGAATAAAGTTTTATAAAATTTTTATCAGCATCATTAGATATGAGTGTTAGTACTGAATTAAATTTACAGTTAATTTCATTTTGTTTTCTTGTTAATTTCATTACAGTTAATTTTTTTTCATTCTTCTTCTTCATGCACGTGTAATAAATAAAATTGCCACATTAAATCCTTTTGAAAATATTAACATTAGCATAAAATATTTCCAAAACTGATATAAATTTAAAATAGTTTATCAATTGTCAAGCAACTAAAATAATTAAATATGTGTAATATCTACCTGACTGATGTAATTTCCGTCTGATGGATATTTTTTATGTGCAGAAATGTGTAACACATAAGAATATGAATCTTACAATTTTTCCCTTATGTGCATGCATTTTTTAGTGACTTACAACAAGCAAACAAGCTCAGAAAGAATGCAGACATTACAGAATATAGCTGCCTGTACATTGTAGCTATTAAAGCACATTATAGAAAATCCTTTAATCACTCATCATCATTCCTTTAAATTAAATTTGTGAAAATGATGATGAAGTATGAATTTATTAATGGTTTATTATGTAGTAGTATTTTTAATTTAGTACATGAAAGTATAAAACAGAAAAATAAGTTGTTTCTCATGAAGTTATATTTTTTATTTGCAGTGCCATGTTTCCACAACAGACATACAGTCCGAGAAGCTCCATGGAGCTACCCACCACATCCTAATGGGCCTGGTCTGAGAATGCTTGATCTTGCTGTGCCTCCACCGCCTTATGTCCCAGCTGAGGTAATCAAATATTTCATTAAGTATTTATAATTATTTGCAGTTGGTTCTGCTTAACTGGGTTATTTTTAATATTTAGTTATTTAGATAGCATTCCTATATCCAAAGTTTGACATGTTTGATTTTAAAATCTAAGAAAAATGTGATAATGTATTTCGCAAAGTTGTAAGTTATTTCTTCTGATGAATAATGTAAAAAAGAAATAAAATTTAATTTCTTTTGTAATTTTATTTGATTTTTTAAAACTTTCCTATATTTAATATCAACATAGGTAATTACAAATGAACTGTTTATATACTACCAACATGGCAAGCTCATTTTTGACCATTTTTATACATGAGTTATAAAAACTACATTTAATAAAATTATTCTGTAATTTTCTACTGCTTATTTTGTGGTAACTATCTTCAACAACCAGATCACTTCGAAAAATTACTTACTTTTAAAACTACATATAATAAATTAATTCTGTAATTATCTACTGCTTTTGTAAGCAGCTATCTTCAACAACCAAATCAATTCAAAAAATTTCATTTTTAAATTGTTTCCTTATCAACAGAAAATGTCAGTATATTTTACTTATGTTCAGCTTATAAAGTATTTTTCCTGCCTTCTTAGCATGCCTTTGTAGTGTAGTGGTCAGCACGCTGGGCGCGTATTCCAGAAGTCCATGGCTCAATTCTCGGCAAGGGCATTGCTCATTTTTCATCTCTCCTGCTTCCCTCTAAAAGCTCAAAATACACTACACAAATTTTAGTGATTATACAATTTCAGTTACATAAAAATTTGTTATTTTAAAGAATAGTGCAGATTTTTCAAGCAAAAATTGCAGTATTTTTCTAAAACATTTAAAGTATTTCATTATATCTTTGCCACAAAAACAATTAGTTACCTTTAGTATGTAAAAACAAACAGCTACCCCTTTTATTAAATGTAGGAGAAAAATGCATAAAATAGCATGAACAAAATATCTTTTTCAAGAGTAATTTACTAACAATTAGCTTTTGTGGGTATATACTATGCAATAAAAATTGTCTACTTTAAATTTATTGTAGGATTAGTTAAAAAAGTATATCTGCTTTGAATTTATCTGGTGGTATTTTTAAAGAAGTGATAATGAATAACTCATGAATCTAAGAATTTTAAAAATATTTTTGATAGGATTCAAGGTAAAAGTTTTTAATGTGTTAAAGAATTAATTTATGTAACAGATGTAAAGTAAATACAAAATCAATTTTTCAGAGTCGACAGCTACCTAGAAATCCTTCCAAGGAAAAACTTGCAGTACCTTCAACACCATCACCTACATCGGTTGATCATAACATGAATGAAACACTAGTAGCTAGTGATCAAAACCATGAAGAAGGTAATATGACAAACATTCATTTGAAAGATGATGTGAGGAGGACTATTCCACATCGATCTAGAATTGATGAATGTCATCCTGGAATTGACTACCAAAGTGTTATATCCATGGAGCTGTTGGAGGACAGCTCTGGTGATATTGATGTGGACATTTATGAAGCCAAGAATGATGAAGTTATAAAGCGTATTTCAGAAATGAACCAAATCCTAGTAAATGTAGAATCGTATTTATCTGAGAAAAACATGCCTTCTATGCAAGCTTCTGAATTTGATGATGAGCAGTCAAATTTAAAAGCTACTGACTCACTTCTGTTGCTAACTCAAAATCAAAATGATAGTGATGATAATGAACTGGAGGATAAAAAAGAGATAACTGTTGATGAAGATGTTTCGCCATCGGAAAGTGACACAGACAGTACTCCGAATGATAGTCCTCTTCATCGTTCCGTTCCTTTGCGAAATTCAATCAATTCAGGGCATCCTATGCTCAGAAGAGATTCCAGTTTTGGACTTCATAGCCCAGATTTGCTACCAAATATCAGTTCTGGTAACAACATTTTGGATATCTTAAAACACATGCAGAGTGAAGAAATACAGCTTCCTTTTGCAGAAGGAACTTTGTATCTTGATCCTGATATAATTGATTTGACTATGATTCCACCACCTATCACACCAGATACAGAATCACAAGATATCACAGGATCTCCTTTAGATGCTCCCCCTACACCTTTCTTAGATACTGGAACATTGCATAAAGAATTAGAAAAGTGGATGAGTATACCAACACAGATTGCAGAAGAAATTGAAGGAGAAATAACACCTACCAATACACCAAGTGCCAGCAGTTCTGGCAAAGGTAAGTGAAAGTAACAAATGAATAAGTACTGCTTTTTTATTAATTTGTGCAATCATGTTATGTATGTATGTATGTATATTTTTTATAAATGAGGAATTCACATGTATTGTCTGTAACGTAAAATTCATTTTTTTATATTACAAAAAATCTTTAATGCCATAAAAATGTTATTTGCAGAAGGAATAGCGTTTTCTGCTATAGAAAGTCAGCAATGAGTACTGTCTAGATAAAGCCACAATTCTGGATTTTTGTTCTTAAATCCAGAATTTTCGAATTTGTGTAATGAAGACTCATTATCTTTCTCAAATTTTTTTATGAAAAATATATCATTCAGAAGCAACATAAATTTAAAACTTTTAGACTGCTGACAGATATAAAAAAGAATTGAAGTTTTCAGGCTAAAAGAAATTGGAAAGCAGAAATACCAATTTTGATATGATGGATTAAATCTATCTTCATTTGCTTCCATGTATCCATTGTTGAAAGCTAATTTAATTATATGAGTGCCATTATGGTAGAGGAACATCATTATGTTGCACAGATTGAAATGTTATTTATGTTCATTACACTAAAATACAAGTGAACATTTTGAGTCAGAAATCCCTCTGACAACCCTAACTGGTGAAGATTTTAAGGACAATTTAGTGAATAACTGGACAACTTACCAAAATTCTTTATGTAATCATTATCTTCCTTCTAACAGCTCATTATCTCCAATACCTGTTAAGAGTATACATACTTCAAGTTCTAATTTGATACTAAAGTGAAAAAATCAAAATGTCTTGCTGATTATACTTTTTTATTTTGTTGTTGTTGCTGTTAGTGAAGAAAAGTATTAATGTAGCAGTTTTCAAAAATTAAATCTTATGTTGTTAAAGCAAATTAATTTTTAAGAAATTAAAAAATTACACTTTTTGCTTCTCTGATGAAATAGTTTGGAAATATGCAGGTCTGCATCTGTGTATGTGCTTCACATTGCTATCCTGAATAATTTGAACTTATATCAGATTTTTATTCCACTTTAATATTCATGATTTTTTAAATGGCTTTGCAATTACCCCTAAGAAACATAATAACTGATAAATTCACCTTCAAGATTAAATATTTAACAAAGTTAATTGTTTTCAATACTGTTTGTCTAAAATTTTTGTGCCACTTTCTGTGAAAGATAAATATGGGGAAAATATATTTATTACATACACCTGGAGAAAATTTTTAGTTAACAGTGGACTTGCAAAAGTGTTAGTAAATATTTTTCATATTTTAGAATGTCATGAAAAGTTCATAGTTAAAATGAAAAAAGTATAATAAAATTATAAGCTTTCAAATAGTTTTTATATGATAAATTAAACAAAATACCAGCAGTGCGGTAGAAGCCACATTTGGCTGTTTGCAGATAGCCTAACAAAAAATGGCTGAGGCTGGTAAGCAATAAAACGATTTTTGAAAGTGTAGGATGTCCACAAAGTCCCTGAGCAACATCAATCTATTATTGTGAGCTTTGCATGTAAGGTAGTGCTGTAAATGTTTTTAGTGTTATTACACAAAGTTTTTCCTCCTCATGTCACAAGAAAGTTGAAGCAAACAGCCTAAAAAGTGAATGTTTGGTGTGGGATGCTGCATGATAAGATTTTAAAACAATTTTTAATCAATGAACAAACAGTAAGAGCTGAAGTTTACCTCAATACATTGATTAATTAAATTTACTTACAGCTGTCAACCAGGGGTTGATTTTTTTTCATTCCAAGGTTGTATAACTTGTGTCCAGTGTCACAAAAACTTTGAACCTTACTTGTGAAAGTGTGACCAATCACCAAAGGTGTAAGTTGTTTCATTCCCAAGCAACAAGCTGTTAAAATTCTTCTTGGGTTTTGTGTACATCCTGCATAATTAGTATTAAGAATTATTGGAAATAATAAATGTGTATGTATATATATAAATATATGGAAAATGCACTTGAAACAAATCTCCGATAGTGTGATATTAAATTAAGGTGCAAGCATTTGTTTGCTTAGCATAATTAATTAATCCCTGTAAAATATCATTGATTGAATATAAAATGTATATAAAATATTGCATTACATCTAATTATTTGCCAAAATTTCTTTAATTTATATGGCTGCTTATCGAAAATTTAAAGGAAACAAAATAAAACATTAAAATCGTAATTCTGTTTATTTGTATAAGAACAATTTTATCAATTTGGTAGGAGGGAAAAAATCAAATTAAGTAGCTTGGACAAATTTCTATTTTCTCTTCTTTTTATACTGTTCCTAAGGCAATTTAGCACATCATCAGTCTTTTAGACAACATGTATATTTATTTCAAGATTTCTAACAAAATCCCTACATTCAAAAAGTGAAATAAGTAAATGAGAAGGCTACACCATTCATAATGCAATAATTCTTACTTGAGGTTTTATGTATTTCATTGAATTTAATTAATTAATTAATCAATATGTGTCACTAACTGCTGAATAAACCCAATGAAATCACTTTCTCTGTTAGATAAAAGTGCTTTCTTTTCAGCTATTGTAGTGTCACTCACTTCTAAGACTTTCAAATATTTTCAGTTCAGATTTTTTTTTAAATTCTTCTTAGAACTCAGCTGATGGAACTGAATGATCACTCACATTAAAATTAATCTTAGATAAACTGTATTATAAGTTGCGAAAATTCCAAGGTCCAAAAGTTAAAATTAATATCACGTTAGAAAGCAAAAATATACTTTTATACTTTCACATTGACAAAGTTAATTTACTAAATTTACGGAAGGAGTGTCATGAAGAAGCTTAAGGGAAATTTATCCAATTCACCTTAAAAATGCAACTATAATTTGATTTGTATAATATGAAATTGATGAAAAGACTATGCAGCTAGTTTATTCTCCCTCCCCACCAAGAATCAAATCCGAGGAGAAATATGCAGTATTCAATTATTATAATTATTGGTTGACCTTTATTTTAATGTGGTAGTGCCAAAAATAAAGGGGAAAGTATGATGTTCATAATGCAGTGAAATAGTACATTCCATTTTATAGTTTCAAGAAGATCATAAGATGATGCCTTACATAGGTGACACTTCTATGAATGTTTTTTAGCAGAAATTTTCGTATATAATTCATTTCAGCACTCATTTTAACCCTTTGAATAGCATCATTTTTCTGATCTGCTCATGATAATATGCATTTAAACAGCATTTATTATCCAAATTTGGATAATTATTTATTTTAGTCTCTGTTTTCATAAACTTCTTTTCTTAAGATGACTTTTACATCATATAAAGATGTAAGAAAGTAAAATATTTTAAATTATAAACTAATAGTATAATTTAAAATATTTTAAATTTTAAAATATTTACACCAAGAGACAAAAAAAAAAAAAAATCACCAGATAAGGAGGTAATGCCATCCAAAGGGTTAGTATTTTAATTATTTGAATATTTTCCATAAAATGATTAATTGTGTTTGCTTGTTTACTATTCAGTTTTTTGTTACCAATACTGTTTATCATTAAACAAGAAACTAATTTAATATTTTTATTACTGTAAAAGAAAAATTTAATTACATATCTTATAAATACTTTTTGTAATATATTAATTTAGAGTATTATTTTGTCATTATTAGGACTGAGTCTATGCTCTCAAGAGAATAAGAGACAAGAAAATTCTACGGCCTCAGTCGACCTTAGTCATCTTCATGATGCATTCAATTCATTACTCTTAGACTCATCTGCTGCTGAAAATCCTGGTGTTGATATAAAAATAGATAGTATTGATTCTTTCATTGCAAATCTGACTGTACCTCCACCTCCAGGCCATAAATCTTTAGAAGCTAACGTTTCTAATGAAGATTTGTCGGCATATATTATACCTCCACCACCAAGCTCAAGTCCTAGTACTGAAGCACAAAATGAAGTTATTGCTAGATTTATGGCTGCAGCTGAAGACATGAAACGAATGTTTGAAAAGGATCTCGACCCTGAAGTGTCCCAAAATAGTTTTAGAGAGCTTCAGCAATTCTGGTCTGAGATCAAATCAAATGATCAAAGAAATAACAGTGGCAGTAGCAATAGTAACTTTCTTCTAGGTCTTAATCAAATTGAAACTTTAAACAGCACTGGTGATTTAGGGTCCCACAGTGGAGACTCGTCGGGTTATGACACATTGACATCATCTCTTACATCATATAGTGATACTGTTGTTAGCGATGAAACAGATGCTTTGTTGAATAGTCCATCTTTTCCTAACAGTAGTGATTCTACTCCTACTTTTGAACAAACTCCTACAAGTATATCAATTTTACATAATGGTAACAATGGAGTGCCAGTAGCTCCTCGTCTGAGGACTTCTTGTGTGGATGATATTACTTCACCTCTGTCCATCACATCGCCGTCTTCCACAACCAGTTCTGACAGCTCAGTTATTTTATTAGATGGTGCTAGTTTAGACCCTTCTGAAAATTCCAGAAAATTCTCAATGAATGATTTTTCTCCTTCAAACAATGCATGTCAAACAGGATCAGGAAGTTGTGATAATTTAGTATGGAAAGAAGGACAAGACATGCTTAGTCCTGGACATTCTGGTATAGTTCGTTCAGTTTCCTGGACAAGTATAGCTGACGTAGATAGTTCTAAATCTAATGCATATGAAAAGACTGTAGTGCCTACAAGGCAAAAACCTCCAATTTTTCCACACAATTTTCATCAGGTATGTTTTCTCCTTATTGTCTAATTTAAAATTTTTAGTCTATATGTATGTATGTAATAAGTTAGAATGAGTGAAGATATAAACACTTCAACCATAGCCGAAGTTATAAATGGTATTCAAACACATAATTACATAGTTGCAATCAAATATAGTAATCATGATGATTCAACATATTTTGTTTCTGGACAAAACAATTCTTTAAGACGCACATTACCATTTTAAATCACGTATCGTAAGGGGCACAATCTGAATCCTTCTTCATCACATTTCGTGCCGTTTTACATGACGATTATCACATTACTATTGATGAAATGTAAAGCCAATCGATGACGAGTTATTTGGAAGTAAGCAAACACTAAGAATCTAACTTATTCAAAAGAAAACCTGCAAGAGAAGTCAAATGGTTATGGTTTGTAATATTAGTTTCGATTTTGAATCATCGTGATTGGCTAAAACTTTTATATAGGTACCTGAAGAGTTATATAAGATAATATAGCATGGATTAATTTGGAAATGACGCAGTTTAGAGAGATTTATTTTAAGCAGTTTCTATTTTCAGAACATAAAGAGGAAATAGCCAAATTAAAATGGAGAACTAAGGGAACCTTGCAAATTAAAACTACACACATCTATTTGAACTTGTTCTTTCGTAATTTTTGTAATTTACGACTTAGTCTACTTTATATATATATATTGATATATTGATGTAGCTCTAAAGAGATTCGCAATTAGAAGCAACGTGTTTTTCAGTTCCTCTCATAAAGTGGCCTCTTTCTTCACTTGAGTCTATCTTCATTGCAAAATCCTGCAGTTTTTTAACAATCCTTTTAACTTTTTGCATGCAAAATCTTTATGATGCATGCTTTATCTTCTTTTTCAGTACCACTGCTTTTGCTGTTGTTATAAGAAATTCAGTTATTCATTCATCATTTTTCGATTAATTCTTTAACTTCTCCTTCTCCCATACCTGTTGCAAACTGACATTTTTTGCTCCATTTCAAATAATGGAAATCCTTTAAAATTGTTAAATATTTGCATAAGTCGCCTGTAGTAACGGCAACCGCCGGCAATAAAAGGAGGTGCTTTCCTTAGTGGCACCGCAGTGAGTCCCGGGCGCTGCGATCACGAAAGCTGGAGGCAGTGTCTAAACATAGCTCCGAAATTTTTTAAATAACTGTTTCAGTAAATATTTTCAACTCTCTAAAAAAGTTTAATGCACCTTTCCTATGCAATGTCTCATTCATCAAATTGAAAAAGGAAACTTCGCTTCTTCGAAACTTCAGGTGTTTTGTTAGCTGTTTACTATCAACACGAGAAATCCAAAAGAGGCCCTGACACGGAATATTCAGATAAGTAACATTCTGTTCTCTATACAATATATGTTTCTCTATCACTAGAGTGCAATTAAATTTTTTTATTTATTATTTTTCATAAGATTCTAGCATTATATAATAGTTAGTAATAGTAGCAAGTCATGTGGTTCTTTTCTTCGTAACTATTCGGTAGAGACGCCACATTCCTTATCAGTAGTCTGTTCTCTGTTCTTATCAGCAATTCACACCCTTCGGAGGCCCCCCTCTTCGTGCTTAGGAACTTCTTGAGAGGGAAAAAATGGGGGTCTCTTGACCATCGATGAGTATAGATTGTGATTTTTGTAACTAAGATCCCCGACCTTTTTTTTTTTTTTTTTTTTTTTCAGGTATCAAACTTGGAATTATGATCAAATATAAATACAGAGTGACGGAATTTATTAAACTTGTACTATAATAAATTACAACGGTTAAATTAATAAATTAATTTTATATTTAACTAATAATTAAGAAAAATAAACTGTATAATTTATTTTTGTTGATATGCTCTCACACTGTGTATGGATTTATGATTTTGTCAATTACTGTTTTTCTGAAATATACATGAATTTTTTGGAAACGGCAATAGTTAATGTTACTTTAGTTAAAATATTATGTGCATCTCTGTGATGATATATGTCTTTTCTAGTTAGGTCTCAAGATAAGGGCATACACATTACCATGTAGGAATTCATTCATTCATTTATTTATTTATTTTATTAAACTTAGCTAAAGTTTGCTTCTTAAAGACACTAATTTTTGCAGATGAACTCCTTAACTACACTCACGGACACAATCGTATTTTAGGATATTTTCTACTTTTCCTTTTCTTTCTTTATGCCCTTTTTTTTTCCTCTATTATTTTTGGGCCATTTATTTTAAATTTCATTTTGTCCCATCTTTTCTTTCTGGCCTTTTGAACTCGTAAAAAATGTACGAAGTTCCTTTTTACTCTCCTCAAATACGAAATTGCCCCCCTTTCTATATACCTTTCCTTCGCACCTATGCTTGATTTTTCGCCCATCGGTGCAGAAAGACTTTGCGGGTGCAAAACAAGACATCTGTCTACTTTGTCTGTCTGTGTCTGTCAGTGGCACCGCAGTTCCTTTTAGTTCGAGCCAGAATAGACAAGCCAGGGGATGAGAGATTCCGGTTCCCGTCTTGTTGCGGATCCAGTCCTGTTCCGGTTCCCGTCTTGTTCCAGTCCTGTTCCGGTCCTGATCCAGTCCTATTCCAGTTCCAGCCTGGCCATTTAAGTCCAAAACACGTAGGAGCGGATGTCTGAATTCAGCGGAATGGAGATATACGCCGAAAGGGCTAGATGGATTCTGTCTTTTAAGGGAAAGTGTTCTTCACCGTGCCGGCATAGCTGTTACTTTAAAGCACTTTGAAGTTTTTCCATCCCAAGATGTTAAGTTTTTGTTTGTGATGTTAAGTTTTCATCAGTGTTGAAGTTCCAGTTAAATAAACCTTTAAGTTTTAGACAAGGTTTTTGTGTTCTTCAGAAAATTTTAGATTCGAAGTCAGATATAGCACATAGGATTATTATCGGAAAAATCAACATTTGGCATCAAGCGACAGGATATTGTCTGCAAGGTAAGCGACTTTTTTATTTTTGAATCATGGAAGCTTTAAAATTAGCAAGAACTCAATATAGAAGACTATTCAGTAAAGCTTGTAATGAATTTGACAATGAAGAAACTAAATTTAATCAGGAAGAAAAATTAATTAAAATAAAAGTTATTTCCGAGAAAGCTAAAGTTTTGTTTGATACTGAAATGAAAATACGAGAATTAATGTTTAAAGAAATTACAGATGAGACTTTACTTATTAAGGAAATAGATGAATCTGAATTATATTTTGATAGGTGGAGAGACTTCTGGAAAGTAAAGTAAAAGATCTTACTTCTGGAACCCCGAATGTAACTTTAATTGATCCGTCCTTTGTTCAGAATAAAATGTTACATTATCCGAAGATTAAATTGCCTATCTTTGACGGCAACGTGAAGAAATGGCTAGGATTTTGGGGGCAATTCCAAAAGATTGATAAAGATCCTACATTAGATAATAATGATAAATTTGCTTATTTAGCACAGGCTATGGAGAAGAATTCTCCTGCAGAGGAAATAGTTAAAAGCTTTCCGCCAACTGGCGATAGTTACAAGAGCGCAATCGAAGCATTGCAGACGCGTTTTGGTAACAAAGAATTACTAACGGAGATTTATATTCGTGATTTGTTAACCCTTGTTATTCAAAAACAAGGTACACACTCTTTGCGGAAACTATACGATGAACTCGAATCTAATCTAAGAGCCTTGGAGATATTGGGAATAAATAGAGGCAAATATTGCGCGATATTATATCCATTGGTAGAATCAGCATTGCCGAATGAAGTCTTAAAAACGTGGGAGAGACTTAGGTTTTCGCGTAAAGGATCAGAAAGTTTAACCGGCGAAAACGCCGAGTTAAGAGAAAGGGAATCTGACCTTGAGCGCCTTTTATGTTTCTTGCGCGGTGAAGTTGAAAGTGAGGAAAGAATTTCTTTAGCAGCTAAATCTTTCAATGTTTTCGATCGATTGGCTCACGGTAATAAGAAAGGGAATTCGGGTTTAAAGATAAGAGAACCTCGCTTAAAACCTACGGCAGCTGAACTGTTTACTTCTTCTAATGAAGCTAGAAAAGGCTGCATATTTTGTTCCAGTATAAATCATGGTTCTGCGGAATGTTTTCAGGCGCGTAACTTATCGTTGTCGGAAAGAGAAGTTTTGGTCCAAAGGACACGCTCTTGTTATCTGTGTCTGAAATCTGGACATTCTGTCAGGAGGTGTAGATTAAAAACAGTTTGTTTTACATGCGGCAAAAGGCATCATATTTTTCTATGTAAGGGCCATTCACAAATGAGTGAGACAAGGGCAACGGAACAGCCTCCAAATCAGGCTGAAACACTCGCCAACATTTCTTCAAGGTCTCCTAAAGTTTTGCTGCAAACAATAAGAGTAATAATTAAAGGAGATAAAAAATCTCGTTCGGCTCGAGCTATAATTGATACTGGTTCTCAAAGGTCGTATATTCTGCAAAGCGCAGCTCAAGATATGGGTTACAGGTATACGGTAAAGGAATACCTTAGCCACGCATTATTTGGCGGTACAACGACCAGTTTGTGTGAACATAAAGTTTACAAAATTCATTTATCTAGTACGTCTGGCTCGTACAGTTGTAATTTTGATGCGTTAAGTCAGCCTGTTATTTGTAATAGTATACCTTCTATTGGACAAGGAATATGGCTTAAAGAGCTTGCTGACTGTGGAATAAGTTTAACAGATCGTTTAGAAGGACCCATAGAAATTTTAATAGGAGCCGATGTTGCAGGACGATTATTAACGGGGAATCGTAAACAAATTTCAAACGGTCTTGTAGCTATTGAAACAAAGTTAGGATGGACGGTTATGGGAAAAACCGGGGAGTTGAATAGTGAAGGTTCAACATTCTTAGTTACATCAATGTTGAATAAAGAGGCTTGTATTTCTGATTTATGGGCCCTCGACTCGCTTGGTATTACGGACCCATCCGAACAAAAGACTAAATTGGAATTGTATGAGGCTACCAGGCAACATTTTCTTGATACTGTAAAAATAGAAGATGACCGCTTTGTAGTGTCTTTGCCTTGGTTGGAAGGGCACCCTCCCCTGTCGGATAATTTTGAGTTATCGCTTAAAAGGTTGCACGGTACGATTAGGCAACTTGAAATAGATAATCTTCGCCAAGAGTATGAAAATATATTCCAAGAATGGCTCAAAGAGGGCATAATAGAGGAAGTACCCGTAAATGAATTGGATTTACCCCCATCATTATTTGCCACATAGACATGTTGTTAAGGAACATAGTACTACGAAGTTACGGCCAGTATTTGACGCTTCGTCTAAAGCAAAGGGTTCTCCGAGTCTCAACGATTGTCTTGAAAAGGGATTAAACCTTATTTCATTTATTCCTACAATCTTTAAATAGATTTCGCCAAGAAAAAATAGGGGTGATTTCTGATATTCGTAAGGCCTTTCTACAAATTGGCCTGAATTCTAGTGACAGAAACTTCCTCCGATTTCTTTGGATAAAGGGTGAAGATGGCTTGAAAGCATTTTCGTCATTGTCGAGTCGTATTTGGTGTAACCAGTAGTCCATTTTTACTTGGAGCTGTTATTCAATATCACTTAAATTCAATTTTGGAGAAAAATGATGCAGATGTAAAATATTCCTTCCAACATTATTGTTAAATTAATGAATAGTTTCTATGTTGATAACTGTGTAACAAGTGTCGGAAGTGAAGATGAATTACAGCGCTTCATGAAAGTATCTTCAGATGTTATGGCAGAACGAAAATTTGAATTGCGGGGTTGGGAATATACCGACTGTAGTTTAGAAACAGAAACTATTGCGAATGTATTAGGTTTGTTATGGGAAAGACAAGGCGATACTCTTCAAATAAATGTTGCTAATTTACAAAATCTTTGTTTCGAGAAAGTTACGAAAAGAAGTATTTTGGCAATAGCCCATAAAGTATTTGATCCCATCGGTATAACATGTCCAGTCCTTATATTACCTAAGATGTTATTACAGCGTACATGGGAAACAAAAGTAAAATGGGACGAAGAAGTTAACACCGAAATTAAAAGTAAATTTTTGAAATGGGTAAAAGAAGACATTTTTCTTTTGAAAAACATTAAAATTCCAAGGTGGATACGATATCAGCCAAAACAGTGTTCAATCCATGTTTTTTGTGACGCCAGTCAAGCAGCGTATGCGGCAGTAGTTTTTATTCGTGTAGAAGAACCTGAATCAGTTAAAGTCCAGTTGCTTCAGGCTAGGTCTAGAGTTTCCCCTTGTGGTAAAAAGGAAACTACTATTGTAAGATTAGAAT